AATCGTTCCTCAAAATTCGGCGGCCTTCTTCTTCTGTGCACTTTTTTAAAAATTTCCCCCCGCAAGCAGTCAAAATGGCTGCTTTCGGGCAATATAGGTATAACACATATATATATACCGGAAATGAGGGAGGGGGAGGTAACTACAATTATTAATAAACGCATTTATATGTTGTATAAAAAGTCACAAAATTCTAAGAAATTCTGTCATTATATACATCATTGTTTTTCTAATTGAAATTAAACAGCAGTCAAAATGACTTCCTTGGGCAATCTAGTGTTAAAAAAAGATGGTAATTACCCTTCCAGCCTTGTCCAGAGCTGTCACATGGCTCCAATGAAGTAAGAGCAGTGACAGGGAAGGGCCTCAGTCTCAAGGGCGCTCTCCAGGTGGGCACCACACTCCATGCATCAGTGAACTTCAAGCACAGAGACCCAGCTGGGCTTAGCTGGCTTCTGATCAAACGGCAGAGCAATCGGGTCATGTGTCCTCAATAATTTTGGAATTCCAGTTCAGAGGCAAGGATGGTGTCTAGATGCTCCTAGAGTGACAGGTTCACTGACGGAGACACCCACCCGTCGCATCCAACAAAGGCCCCCACGCTGGGAACGCCCTGTGAAGAGGGGAGGAACTGTGCTCATCACCAGAGCGCCAGCCTTGACCGAGATGGGCCTTGAGCGGCCGGGCTGGCCTGGGGACCCGAGCGCGCCCGCCCTCAGCACCTTCAGTGTGAAGTCCGAGAGGAAGCCCTCCCAGGAGCTCCCGGATGAGAGGCCCTGGTGCGGGGCGGGGGAGCAGGGGCTCAGACAAGCCCGGGTCCGCAGAGCCCCGCAGCTCACAGGCTGAATGGCTCTCCCTGAACGCGGTGAGAACCTGCTCTGCAGGGCTAACTGCAACCCCCGTCCCGCAGTGAGCACACGCTGGGGCGCACAGACACCAACCGGGCCCTCAGCCCGTCTCCTCCCGCGTGAAGGAGGAACTAGGTCAGGCCGGACGATACAAACCCGCACTCACATCTTCAGCCTCAGAGCAGAGACAGAGCTCGGTTTCCTGTGGGCAGAAGCGGGGCCACCCCTGCAGGCGATACAATGGGAATGAACAGCCTGGCGATCAAGACCGGCTATGCCATCACCGTTTTTCCAAAATCAGGGCCAAAGGCATCTGAGTGCCGGGGAGCTCCTTCCTCTGAATGAGCAGAGCCAACACCTGCCACCCCAGCTGAAATCAGGATTGGGCTGCGAGAACAAAGAAGCTTCCAGCACATTCAGAAAAAGGCTGCTGCCGTGTCTGCTGCTTGGGAAGGAGACGGCAATCCGAGCCATGCTCTCGGCTGAAGGCCTGTGTTGGCTCAGGGGAGGAAGTGGGGGAAACAGAGGCATTCCGCCCCTCAGTGAGCCCGCTCCTTCACAGCCTGGAGAGTGTTTGCTCAGAACTCAGAGAGCTATTAGCAACGGCCCACGGGCAGGAGCACCCGTGGTCTTCCTGGGCCCGCGACCTCCCGGGGCAGCCTTGGACACACTCCATGTTTACCCAGGGTGCAAGCTGAGCCTGCCTCCAGTGAGTCACTCCGTAAGCCTTTGAAGGGTCACTACCTTTATTCCCACAAGAGGCCAATCCAAAGCAGCAACAAAGGAACAGTTAAACAAGAAAAACACCTCCTTTGTGCTCCTCGAGAAAGACAGTCTTGGTCATTAAAGAGGTAAAGAGTTTTATTCTGTATAAACTTTCTCTTACAAAGATCAGCCCAGTAATTTTCCAAGGGGCGTTAGTAGTCTTCCACTCATACCTGCTTGACGATGAGGAGTCATTGAAACAGTGTACACACACAATAAAAACCAGGTTGGCGGGCATTTGGTTCTGTGCCATGTGCTGTCGGAATTATTCTACTTATGAAATGCTCCAGAATTTGCCCCAGAATTTAGCATCTTAAGATCAAGATTTTATTTTCAAACTTTCTCTCCTCTGTTCTTTAGACTAGGTGATTTCTATTGATCTATCTCCACGTACACCAACATTTTTTGTTGTTGTTGTTAATCCTCACCTGAGGATATTTTTCCATTGATTTTTAGAGAAAGTGGAAGGGAGAAGGAGAGACAGAGAGAGAAACATCGACGTGAGAGACACACATCGACTGGTTGCCTCCCGCACGAGCCCCAACCAGAGCCGGGGATCAAGTCTGCAACCCAGGTACGTGTCCTTGACAGGAATCGAACCCAGGACCCTCAGTCCATGGGTCAACACTCTATCCATTGAACCAAACTAGCTAGGGCCCAACTCTTTATTCAGTCATCTCTATTGAGTTGTTAAGCACATTCAGTAACAATTTTTAAATTTTAGTTTGGCTACTGTATTTTTCAGTTTTAGAATTTCCAATTGGTTCATATTTTTATAGTTTCTATTTCTTTGAATCATGCTCTTTCATGCGTTAAAAGGATATTTCCCTTTACATCCTTGAGCACAGTTATAATTGCTTTCAAATCCTTATCTGCTAAACCCAACATCTGTGTCATCACACAGTCACTCTCTGTTAATTATCTTTTTCTCTTGAGAATTTTCCTGTGTGCCAGTGAGTCTGGATCCTGGACGCTGTAAGTGCTATGTTGTGGACACTCAGCATTCTATTACTCTAAAAAACTGTTATGTTTGTTTTAGCAGGCAATTATCTTAGTTGGACCTTAACTGTAAATTCTTTAGGGTGACCGTTCAAATCTCAATACGATTATTTCATCCTTCTCTGAGCTGCGTGGTGCCTGGCCCACGTGTGATCCCGGCCTCAGCAGGGATGCAGGCGGTTAGCACAGAGGACGGGGGGCTTGCTTTATCCTTTCCAGGATTACCTCCTTCACCTTCCAGTGGCTGTGGCTGCTTCAAACTGTCTTTCAGTCCGAACCGGTTTAGCTCAGTGGATAAAGCGTCAGCCTGCGGACTCAAGGGTCCCAGGTTCGATTCCAGTCAAGGGCATGTACCTTGGCTGCAGGCACATTTCCAGTGGGAGGTGTGCAGGAGGCAGCTAATCGATGTTTCTAACTCTCTCTCTCCCTTCCTCTCTGTAAAAAATCAATAAAATATATTTAAAAACCTGTCTTTCATTCTTTAAACTAAAAGGTCTGTAGGTTTTTCCAACAGAGTTTTAACTGCCCTGCATCTCACTCACACACACACACACACACACACACACACACACACACACACACTGTGCCTTCTTCCGTGTGTCAATTCAACTCAGAATCTGCCGTTGGGTCACCTTGGAGTGTCTTCACTAGCTGTCTTTTGTCCTGAGTTTATAATTATTTATGGGAAGATCACTCCGATAGTAGCTTACAGGGCCATTCACAAAAGCAGAACCTACAACTCAATCCCCTCCCCCGCAATTTTCACTTTTTCTCACAATGTTGTGGCTGTGAAGTCAGGAAGAGCTTGCTGGGCGGCTACTCCTGATTCACGGGGCCTCGGCTGGCAACTAGGAAACCGAGATTAGTGACTTCCAAGCTGGAGTCCCGCTCACATGTCTGGTGCCTCGGCCCTAGAACTGATCTCCTTCTGCCTCCTCTCCGCATCTCCTCCTCCAGGGCTGCTCCACATGGACTTGGCAACTCTCGCACAGTGACCGCGGGGAGTCTGCGCTCTGACGTGGTGACGGCTTCTGTGAGGCAGGCACGGGGCCCGCCAGGCAGCGCGGACCATCACAGAGATGGTGCTGACCACTCCCACCATATTTCGTTGCTCAAAGTAGTCAAAGAGCTCTAGTCATCCCAATTCAGAGGATGGGGAGTGGCAACGTCGCACTGTAGGAATGCACGCAGATTGCTGGGTGTTTGTGTGGCCATGTTTGAGAAGTGGAACCTGCCACACATATATTCAGTATTTAATGGAGCAAAACAGATGCTACTTAAAGTGTGAGGAAGATACAGGCAGTAGTTCAACATGAAGCATTTGGTCTAATTCTCCTGCCATCATTTGTGCCACCTTCTCCTATTATTGATATGATTACCTCTAAGCTGTTCAGCACAAAATAGGTTCCTAATGCAATCTACTGAGTTTCCAGAGATTTAATATTATATCCATTTCAAAACTCCTAGAAGAAATGCTTACGTTGCTATAATCCAAGACGTAGGGCGCAGATATAAATTAAAATGTAGCTGTTTTTTCTTAAGATAATGTCAGTAACTGCTGTTGCCTGGCCAGAGCGGCTCAGTGGTTGAGCGTTGCCCCAGCACCGAGAGGCTGCGGTTCGATTCCCGGTCAGGGCACATGCCTGGGTTGGGGGTTTGATCTCCAGTCGGGGAGCATATGGAAGGCAACTGATCAGTGCTTCTCTCTCACATCAATGTCTCTCTCTCCATCCCTTCCTTTCTCTAAGCATGTCCTCAGGTGAGGATTAAAAAAGTAATAACTACTGTTTATTGTGTCTACTATGTGTTAAACAATTTCTAGGCTTTTTTAAAAAATATATTTTATTGATTTTTTACAGAGAGAAAGGGAGAGAGACAGAGAGTTAGAAACATCGATGGGAGAGAAACATCGATCAGCCGCCTCCCGCACATCTCCCACCGGGGATGTGCCCGCAACCCAGGCACATGCCCCCGACCGGAATCGAACCCGGGACCCCCCCAGTCCGCAGGCCGACGCTCTATCCACTGAGCCAAACCGGTTTCGGCTCTAGGCTTTTTAAATACCTGTTCTTATTGACTATTGTCTAAGGACATTAGGTTGTTTAAATGCATAGGCTTAGGACGAAGATCAACAATTTATAAGAAAGGAGACTGACTCAAACACACTAAGGACAAATACAATGCAAATTACAAAACTACAAACCCTAATCCAAGTAATCATGGCATTTTATGTTTATCTGTGGGAATATACACACACATATACATATCTCAAGCTACTTTCTAAGCACTGTAAGCTTTCATGCCCCAAAAGTGATTGTTTTCTGATTTTAAATATTATATTCTAAATGAAGTCACATATGTCTCACACACAGTAAGAAACAATCTTACCTTGTCTTGGTTATCTTTATTCTTGTAACACATATTTCCGATCAGACGAATGAGATGAGACCGGAAGCCCTCAGCCACGTTTTTGACGTCCCCGTCCGCGCTTATGCGAGCAGAGGTATTGAAGATGTCCGCGGTGTCGTTGGCAGTTACATGAATCAACCGTAAAAGATCTATAACAAAAACAACAAACTTCATTTTCCACAGAAACATTTTTAGTATATTGTACTAGTTTTCCATAAATGAATCTAATTTATGTTAATGGATTAATATCAAATACAGGTTGAATACTGAAAGCTTCCTTTAAATAATGATTAACAGGCTCTTCTATTTTTGCTCTAAAATTTTTCATGAATGGTTTTGGGGACATAGGCCATAATGATGACCCCAACTTGGGCTTTCCATTTATCCACAAAGAAAAGTTAGGTAAACACTTTCCACCATCTTTCTTAGAAAAAGATTTCCAATTTCAACTTCTTTGTGGAAGAACGGCTGTGAGGCCCACTGTCAGCTGAGTCTAGAGGCACCCACTGTCTGTGAGGAGCCACACCACACACCCAGGAGCACGGGTGTCCCTCTGGCCAGGTGATCAGAAGGCGGCACCAGGAGCTGTTTTGGTTACACTGAGAAGAACTGATTAATGCTGTTACACTGTATGAGACGCCATAACAGCCTAGGAAAAGAAGCTATATTTAAGTATTTGAGCATTATCTCATTTAACCAGCTCAACAAACCTAGTAACACATTCAGCGCCCAGCCTGTTTTGTCTTTAGGACTGAAAGTGTAGTGTCAGTCACCGGTGACTGACTGGGCACTTAACGTGCTAAAGGCAGTTGTCTCTTTCCCAATTTATAATGAAGGAATCAGGCTCAGAGAAGTTAGTAATTTCAGAGTTCAGATGGCAGCCTGTGCCTGCTCTGACTCCAAATGCATACTTTTCCACAATGACTATCACTAAAAGCACTGAATTCAAAAATAAAACACCGATACGAGATTCTAACTATCGTCTACAGCTCACTGTGAACTTGCCGACCCATCTAGATCCAAATTCACTTTTCTTAGCATATGAGTCTCCAGAATAATTATAACTTTTTCTAAAGAAAAACATAGCAGCCAGTGAATAGCAACACCATAAGCATGGCTAACCACAAGGAGCAGGTTCTACTTGAATTATTTTTAAACAGTTTTTTAGCAAAGATGGTAATATTTCAAACACTGGCTTCTTGCTTAAAAACAATCCTATATAATAAAAGCATAGTATGCAAACTGTCCCCTCGACCAGGGGGCGGGGCTGGCCGGGGGCAGGGAGAGAGGCTCGGCTGGCAGCCAGCAGCCGCTAGGGACCCTACCAGTGCGTGAATTTTGTGCACTGGGCCTCTAGTTTTCTATAAAAATCAAAGACACAATAACTATGTGTAAGGCACTATTCTTCGCGTCCCATAAATGTGACTAGGAAAATTTTTACTAACAAATTTGGTAAAACTGCAGTGATATTAAAAATGCTATCATCATTGAAACCGCGCCCCTCACCGTGGCAGGCCCTGGTGATGAAACACTCCCAGGAGCACCATGCGGCAGGCACTGGGACCCTCGCATGCTGATGAGGCAGCTTGAGTCAAACAGCGGGCAGGGGGAACAGCCTGAGCTGTTTGTTACCAAAACACCACAGTTCCTCCTCAGAAAAAATATTCCCCCCAATCTCAAAAATATAGTAATACCCTGAAAACTACAGATCCGTGTTTGAACTTATATTATAGTATGAAAAGTCAGAGATTTCTCGATGAAAAACAACAGTGTGTGCTGGCTCACTCACCAACGGCCCTCTCCAGCAAGCCAGGGTACACCTGTAGGTAGCTGAGCAGGTCGGTGTTGGCGGTCATCTCACACAGGACGTCAAGGAGCCTAATTGTAGCCAGGGCCTCGTGAGAAGAGAAGGAAACATACGTTTTTAAATCAAACTAAATTATCTGACTGCTTTAAATAGCTGTGAGAGAATGAACTACCACAGTAAGTATTAAAGAGTCAGTGCTTCTCACACATCTAAAGAGAGAAACAACTACCGAAACCAGAACAGAAGCATCAGAAACGGCCGGGAACGACCAGCTATGCTAGCAGACACCGCCATCGAGAAGGCAAGATCATGTGTCTTATTGGAGCAAAGAACCAGAGAAGTTCTCATCCAAGCAAAAATACCTTCCAGCAGTGGAATGAGTGTTCAAAATTACTAGCTACGCACATAACATTTATGCAGATACTTTCTTTTTAAAGCGTTCCCAGCAAGCAAGTTCACTTTACAGATACAAATACACCATGAACTACATTAATTTCGTGTCCACAGGAATCCTGTAAAATGCTGTGGTGCAGAGCATTGGCAACAAGAATCTGCATTATTTCTGGGTAAATATAAACCTATATACAATATCTTGGTAAGCTGGAAAATATATTATTTGGGCTAGTTCACATAGCTACTAAAGAGTTTATTACCAAATAGACTACATGCCCAAGAAAATACCAACTACCAATGGCATGGTACTAGGGAGTCAAAATAAAATCTTTTAAAAATATATATATATATATTTCTATTGATTTCAGAGAGGAAGGGAGAGGGAAAGATAGAAACATCAATCGTGAAAAAGACTCATTAATTGGCTGCCTCCCATATGCCCTACACTAGGGATCGAGCTGGCAACCCAGGCATGTGCCCTGACCAGGAATCAAACCACAACTCTTGGTTCATAGGTCAATGTTCAACCACTGAGCCACACCAACTGGGACAAAATAAAATCTTAAAATGCAATTTTTGTACAGATTTTGAACCTCATTTTTAAAGTACACATTAGCTGGCAAACTGTGGTAGATGCTATAAATTTATGTCATAAAGATAACACTCTTCAAAAGAAAAATATCTTCTTTTTGTTAATTCTAACTGCATTTACTATTTTGTAATTTGGAGATTTAAAATACTATTTTAGTGTTGCAATCTCAAAATAAACAGCAGGAAACACACATTTTTAATGCCTTACATTTTAATTTTATTTCATAGCTTCAATTGCTAGTTAAAAAGTTAGAGGGAAATCCTATATAATAAAGAGGTAATACGCAAATTGACAGTCACACCCTCACAAGATGGCTGTCTACAACCAGGCCGGCAGAGGGGTTAGTGAGGGACGACCCAACGACTGAACAAGCAGGCTGCATGGGGCGACCAGGCCCGCAGGGGCGTTAGTGAGGGATGACCAAAAAACTGAACAACAGGCAGTGGGGGGTGACCAGGCCAGCGGGGGGTGGGGGGGGCTTTTGAGGGCAATTAGGGTGGCAGGGGGGTTGTGAGGGGTGACTAGGCCAGGGCATCTTGCAATACGGGTGGCAAAGGAGCTAACTGAAACTACTAGGATCAGTCAAGAGAAACCAGAAGCAACCCAAGAGGCCCCAGTAGGAAGCGCACATTAGGACACCAGGAAGAATCATGCTGCAGATGATGGAGAACAAATCAAGTAAGTCTAAAGCCATGACTGCATAATAATTAAAACAAAACAAGGCACTTGTCATCTCTGGATGATATCACAAAATCAACTCCTTATTCTGAATACTGGTAATCAAGGAGGGGAAAACAAAATGTATCTTATATAACCTATTAGCTGATTAGGGGAAGATATCTTTAGAAAATATTATAGTTAATAAATGAAAAATGAATGATATTTCACAGCCCCTAACAACTGATGGATCTAGGTCAGTGATGGCGAACCTTTTGAGCTCGGCGTGTCAGCATTTTGAAAAACCCTAACTTAACTCTGGTGCCATGTCACATATAGAAATATTTTGATATTTGCAACCATAGTAAAACAAAGACTTACATTTGATATTTATTTTATATATTTAAATGCCATTTAACAAAGAAAAATTAACCAAAAAAATGAGTTTGCATGTCACCTCTGACACGCGTGTCATAGGTTCGCCATCACTGATCTAGGTAATAATCATAACACCTGCTAGCGTCACAAAAGAGACAACCAGACATTATGAGCCTCTTGATGAATGAACGTGTCAACAAAGATGAAACATGACTAAAAAAAAAATCACAACGAAAAACTAACCGGAATCTGAATACGAGTTTAGAACTAATTACCATTCACAAGAAATTCAAGGAAAAGAAGGCCATGTTAACACCACCATGGAGATCCACTCATCCAAATCCAAACTGTAGAAAACGCCACAGGTCAAACAAGCCAAATTCTTCAACAAACAACTAGCACAGGAAAGAGAAGGAAGAGGGATGGGGCGGGGGTAATCTATACACTAGTAGGAAGGGAGATCTGAGACCTATCAACCAACTGCAACATATGGCCCTTATTTGTATCCCAAATCAAAGAAATAAATTTGGGGGGGGGAAGTAGACAATGGGGGTAATGTAAATACTGTTTGATATTAAAATTTAAGCCAAAACCGGTTTGGCTCAGTGGATAGAGCGTCGGTCTGTGGACTGAAAGGTCCCAGGTTCGATTCCGGTCAAGGGCATGTACCTGGGTTGCGGGCACATCCCCAGTAGGAGATGTGCAGGAGGCAGCTGATCGATGTTTCTCTCTCATCCATGTTTCTAACTCTCTCTCTCTCTCTCTCTCTCTCCCTTCCTCTCTGTAAAAAATCAATAAAATATATTTAAAAAAAATTTTTTTAAATTTTAAATGTGCTAATTGTACTTCACTTATGTGTGAAGACTCCTTATCTTTTAGAGATACATATAAAATTAACTGATGTCCCTGGCCAGTTGCTCGGCAGTTAGAGCGTCAGCCCGAGGACCAAAGGGTCTCCGGTTCGGTTCCTGGTTAAGGGCATGTATCTCGGAAGTATGCAAGAATATACCAAAAGACAGAACTAGGTATATTAACATCATAATCTAAGACCATTTTTATAAAGGAAGAGATATGGATAAAACCTCAGGATCTTAAAGCCGAATGAATACATAAATTAAAAACCAGATGCTATAAAAATGATTGCCTCTTTCTGATTTTTCAGACATAGTATTATGAGCACATTACTAGTTATCTTGTCCTAAAAATATCACAGATGGGTAAATGCAGCGGTTTGCTGGTAAAGTGGCCGACGCTATAGATACTTCACAACGGCCGCTTCCAGGCTACTGAGTTTAACGATCAGCTCACAAACTCCTGACTCTCAGGCATCAGTGGAGACGACACCAGGATGTGTAAATACTGAGGCAAGGGGTCTTGTGAAAAATGACCATAGCTTTTTAAACTTGTAAGTGAAAGGATAACGTATATACACTAATATGCACAAGTCGTGCGTGTATATAGATCAATGAATTATCAAAAAGTAAACTATTGGGGTTTTTCAAAGGGAAACTGTCCACAATTTTCTATCACTTAATATGTGATAATTTCTCCCACCTTAGAGAAAAACCTCTTTGGAGGAGAAATGTAAAATTTCCTAAATATAGTTCCATCAGGTCACTGATGATAATGTTGAACTCGTCTATACTATAAATATAAGAGCCGTGAGAACATTTACAGCTGAGATTTCACCAGCCCTAAGCTCTCCCTCCCTTCTGCTCTGGAGAATTCATTTAACCTCCGAGAAGCTCAGCTCACTGCTCCTCCTGCTGGAAACACGCAACCCTGTCTTCACGAAGGACAGGCAAACCCGTGAGGGAGGGCGTTCTCTTTCTCCTCCTGTCACAGCAAAGGGCAACGCAAACATTGGCTTTGTCAGCGAGACCTCACATGGCCGGCATGAACATCAATAGCAAAGGAACCCCGCGGAAAGGCACAGGCGCCCAGAACAAGCACACCTGTGTGGCAGGCCCGTCGGAACCACACCTGCATGTATGGCCGGAGTTCGCAGGCTCGCAGATCAGTCTCCAGATGCGATGGAGCAGTGACCACACCCCTTCCCATCTGGAGAAAGAGGACGGTCCCACCGAAGGGCAAGCCCTCACCTATTTGCCAAAGTGATTCTCTCTCTTCATCATTCCTATCAGCACACAAAGGACCCATTATTGTGTTTCTGAACATGCTGATGAAATCAACTTCACTGAGGTAGAAGTTACATGCCATAAAATACATGCTCTTAAGCCTACGGTACTGAGCGGTGTGAATGTACACAGCTATGTATATTTCTACTGCCCATGACATTCCCGCGTGCCCTCCACAGCCAGCCCCACCTGTCCGCTGGCAGCCCGGGGACAGCTAAGCTCCTCGCCGTGAGCAGTAAGCGGTGTGCTGTGGAGCTTGAGGTGGAATCAGACTACACTCTCTAGCCTACCTGGCTGCCTTCATCGCTGCGTGTGAGATTCATCTCTGTTCTTGTCTCAGAAATGTATTTCTTTATACTGCTGAAGAGAATTCCAGAGAAAATTCAATTCCAACTTTAAGACCAAAGGAAAAAGAAATAAATTAAAATAAAGGGAATTTCTAAAGCGAAGAGGAGGGAACCAGGATGTGAGCTAGCTTAGCAAAGGAAAGGCCGGGATGACATAGGGTAGAGCTTGGGAGAATAAAAATGCCTGGAGGAGCCCACCAGGTGAGGGTGAACGGGCATCTCCCGCCAGGTCAGAGAAACAAACTCTGGAAGGCAATTTGCAAATGTGCACCCTAAGCTTCACAACGGGGTCAACCCTTCCGCCCAGCGGGCCCCTCTGGGACTGCGCCTGGTTCACAAGCGTGGAAGTGTACACAGATGCTGCTACGGAGACAGTCTACAGCACTCTTCAGAACCAACGCAAACGGGGACACCTCAATGTCCAGCTCCCCGTAGCTGCACAAATAAATGATGATAAATTCTTTACTTAGAGTGCTACACTGGCACTTTAAAAAGCCACTAACAAACTATTGTTCATTCATTCAGAAAATATTTGCTAAGTGCCCACTATGTACATAGTACTACAAACGTAGTCAAAACTTCAGAAGAAACAACAGGGATTTACAAAAAGATGGCACAGAATCATTTCATTTTTAATGTGTGTGTGCACATGTGTACATATGCATGTGTCTATTTGATGTTATCTGCCTAGATAAATATATTAACTAGAATTGTTGTCATTAACTTTGAATGGTTGTGAATAAGAATATTGTTTTCCTTTATCTGTATCTTCTTCACTGTTCTAAAATAAGGATAGTCTTAGTCTATTTAAACTGCTCTAACGAAAACAGCATAATCTATATATATAAAAGGCTAAGTGGCCGGCTGGTACCTATAACATGCAGACCACGAGGGGGCAGACACTCAATGCAGGAGCTGCTGAGCTGCCGTGACTTGGCAGTGGCAGTTCTTGGGTGATGGACCCCAGGAACCAGAGAGGAGGGAGCCCGATTCCTCTTGGGGCTGTGTGATTCCACCTCCTGCTGTGGGTTATGTTGTTGCTGGGGCATTGTCGCCCGAATCTGGTTTACTGCACACTTGCATTTACGTTCCACCTGTATGACAGCAACTTTGCAGAGTGCCCTCTTGCACTCCAGAACCCCTTGGGGGATGTCTGAGAGCCAGTTTCGGCCCGATCCCCTCAGTCGAGGCCAAGGGACCCCACCTGCTGGAGGGACCTGGCTCACTCCGCAGACGCCTTTCGAGCCACGGTGCCACCCCAGAGGCCAGGGAGGGATCGCTTATGTTGTTTGGGGCATTGTCGCCCGAATCTGGTTTACTGCACACTTGCATTTACGTTCCACCCTGTATGACAGCAACTTTGCAGAGTGCCCTCTTGCACTCCAGAACCCCTTGGGGGATGTCTGAGAGAGAGTTTCGGCCCGATCCCCTCAGTCAAGGCCAAGGGACCCCACCTGCTGGAGGGACCCCGCTCACTCCACAGACGACCTTCAAGCCGCCCCAGGTGAGGGCGGCCAGGAGGAACCGTGGGACCACCCAGGACCGCCTGCATTAGTCCCTGCACTGGAGCCAGCGCCACGAGCCGAGCATGAGTTTTCTTACCCCCTCCTGCCTGCCCTGCCCAGACGTCCTTCAAGCCTCTGTACCGTCCCAGGAATTCTAATTAATTTCCTTTCAATGTGCACGAATCTGTGCACTGGACCATAAGTATGGCTTATAAACAAGGGAAATTATTTCTTGCTGTTCTGGAGGTTGTATGTTCAAGATCAGGTGCTGGCGTGGCTGGTTTGGGGAGGAAGTCTTGCGGGTTGCAGATTGCTGGCTTCTTGCTATGCCCTCACGTGGTGGGAGGGGTGAGGGATCTTTCTGGGGCACTAACCCTATTCGTAAGGGCTCCACCATGACCTGATCACGTGCCAAAAGCCCCACCTCCTAACACTATCAACTCTGTCATTAGGTTTCCAACATATGAAGGGGAGGAGAGAGACATCTGACTATCGCGATACTTATGTAATCTATCTGAAAAGCTTGTAAAAAGAATTCTCATAGAGGACCTCGTGGAGTTGGGAAGCCTGTCTTCTCACCTCGTCGTCATCATGCTGCCCGGCAGTCAGTTTCAGCACAACCCTGCACTGGTCCACGAAGGTGCTGGCGATGAGCTCGGCGTGGCCCAGGAGCGCCGTCGTGTCATCCTTGGTCAGAGGCTCCTCGCCCACCATCTTGGCTATTAGAGCGTCCAAGAGTGTGACCCTGGGAAGCAGAGACTTTACAGGAACATGCACTACTGGGACACCACGACACTAGAAATACCTAGAGACCCCTGTACGAGACCGTTTTTACTCTCTAACGTCCATACTTTGCTTAAATGTCTAGCTGGGGAAACGGGATTTGAGAATAAAATTAACCCTCATCAATCACGTTTTTTAAAAATCTTGATTTCTTTGATATGGCGAGGCTACAGAAAAAAGCACCTTTTATATTGTTACTTTGAGCACTAAAATAATTCAAACTTCAGAAATGCTGCCAGTTTTCTAATATATCAACAATAATAACAATAGCCAAGTCAAACGGGCAACATTCACTACTTATTCTTTTTTATTTTTTCGGGAAATGTATACTTAATCATTCTCTGAGTGATCAGAACTATAAAATCAACATTCATTACTGACTAGAGTGAAGCGCTTTCCCCCCATTTCCTCATTTGGTGCACATAGGACGGCGAGGCCGGTGCTCCAGCTCACACCAGGGTGGTGAGAGGCTGACGCAGGCTGCCTGCCCAGGGCCACCCACCTGACAGCCACGGCTCTCCCGCTCCTGGGTCGGGTGCCTTAGCTGCTCATTTTACTATCTTTCTTGGGAAGGTAGGCTTTTTTGTTTGTTTCATCATTTGAGTTTACAAAAACATAAATCTGAAACCCAACCTATGCCATTTTTTACATCAATATTTAAATTATCAATAAATATTTTTATTCAACAACCTTTTTCCTTTTCCTAGAAAAAAAAAAATCATATACAGGGCAACCTATCCAGCATAAACCAAGTATGTTCCTCAGAATCCTATTCTGACCTGCGATTATATGTACAAACAAGTCTTGGTTTCTACACTGGAGAGGGGCCCCGCTTCCTTTCATCAAATGTATCACAAGGTTTGCTGGCATCATTAAATTGCTTCCGTGTGTGTATATGTGCAATTCAGAGGGCATGAGGAGCAAAAGTACAAATCTCAAGCCAGAATATTTATGGTTGATGTTTCTGGAAAACAAAGTTCACAGCAGCCAGAAATCTGGCTGAGGCCGTATAACCACGTGCAATATGAACCACAAGACACCTCCAGCAACATCTACCTCCCAATGGAACGGAGGATTAGGCTCTCATTCAGGGCTTCATTCATTCACTGAACTGGCATCTAAACCACCATACTCGACACATCAACGTTAGAGAAACACACGGTATTCCGGAGAAACAAGCCACCGCTGAGGGAATGATTATCTTGCCGTAAAGGAATTCACTTTAAATGTCCTCGTACAATGTACTGTCAGGTGTCTTTTACGTTTTTACATACAACACACATGTCACCCTACCCGATGGCCTTCCGCAGGCGGCACAGGCAGTGTTATTAAGACAGGCTCCAGAGCCAGGCTGCCGTCCACCACAGGGAGGCCTGGACCAGCCACTGCGCTCTCTCCCTCCGTGTGCACCTGTCACACAGGCCGACAGGAGTGCCAGCCTGCCCAGGCCGACAGGGACTGAGCTGCCCCTGTGGCGCTTGGGACAGCGCCTGACTCACCCAACAAGAGCTGTGGACGAGTTCGTAGGAGCAAACACTGTCGATGCTTTCACTGACAATGTCTTCATAGCAAAAGCAATGACTACCCATAATGCCAAGTGCAGAGGAGAGGGGAGGGTGGCTCTTAGTGACATTTGTAGAGTTAGGATGTGGCCAATTAGATGTTAAATATCTGACACATCTTCTTGTATAAAATAAGCACTTTGAAAAGAGCAAGGTCCCCTTCTAGACGCCACCTCCCACCTCACTGTGCCTGGAGACTGTAACTTGGTATCGCTCGCAGTGACCAATGTGACCTGGACAGTGGAGGCGGGCCCCACAGGATAGGTTGCCCTGTGTAGGCTGCCAGGGCTCGCACACCCTAACCAGCTACTAAAGACCCTTCGGTGCGTAAGGAAACCCCTCAGCCGCATGCTTCCATGCAAAAAACCCTGTTTTGCACCTGTTCTGTGCCTGGGCACCGTGGACACCGCAGAACAGGAAAGACCAAACCGTTCCCGCACACAGCACCTGACGGGAGTGCCGAGCAGCAGCAGGCAGGCACGTGGCACGGTTCGCTGTATGACAGGTGAGGTAATGGCACACGGGCCAATGTCTGCTAAGTTCTGTGTGTGGGGAGGGGCTACACTCCTCCTGGGAAGGAGAATACAGGAGGCGGAGGAGGAGATCACGCCTGAGCAGAAAACTCCCATGAAGGAGGGAAGCAGCGGCCACCACCGGTTTATAAATAAAATGGAAACTATTGTCTGCCTTCCTCATTTGCTTACTGATTAGCTGAAAAACAGATCACTTGATAGCAATGCGGAAAATACAAACATGAGTGTTAAGTCACAGTTACACTATGTATTCGCGTGCTCGTGTGCTCCTTACCGCGAAGCAGTGACTAATTTCTACCAGTGCTCATCAAGTTACTTATTTTAGGTTAAAAAAAACCAAAAACCTACAAATAATTCTCTTTCAGGAATAAACGTATACATATGTGGCAGTAGCAGGGGTCATGGATTTATAAACATGGCATTTAAACTTACTTTATAAGCATGAACTTTTCTTTTTTGTTAGAGATATTAAAGAAAAATCAGTACTTAACACGACTACGAAGGAGTGCATAAAGCTTAACGTTAGACCCAAACATACAGGCAAAATTTCAAAACCACAGCAATTATAAAAATTGTGACTACAATCAAAAGAGTAACATTTTTAAAGTTCTTAACCATTGTATCAGTTTCTGATCATCAGATTTCTGAGTAAGTTTTATTTTCCTAAGACAACATTTCCAATAAGGTTTGGAAAAACACATCCTATTGGAATGGAAAGAGAACTGTGAATCATTTTGTTTAATCCTCTAATTTTATAGGTCAGGAAACTGAATCCAAACACGATAAAGACCTGACCACAGTCACACAGAATTCCTATCGCCAGGCGGGCAGGGAGCCGGCTCGCTCTCAGGGCACTCACTGCTCTGCCCGCTGCAACAGCGGGGAGGTCCCCGCCGGGCACCCAGTTCCGTGGGTCTGATTACCTATCGGAAACTACCGCCTGGGAGCGTGTATCCCAAACTATCCTATCAGCGAGGTGGGCAGATGCGCACTCTTCACACACACAGCAGG